TTGGTACCGGTACTGGTTTTATTTTGTTGTATTTATCCACAAAACCTTAAAGGCTGGGGGTTAGGCTTAAAGTTAGTGTGCTGAACCAGGAAGCTATAGCTAATAGAAAGACCTCACCTCCACCAATATGAGTCACTGAACTGGATCTTTCCACCTTCTACTTTAGGATTGGTTTACTGTGTGCTACAGCTTATGAAAGACATTTATCTCCAGTTTTGGTAAGTGAAATTCATTTTTTTATATTAGTCTGTTACTTGGTTACTCACTGATTAGCACCCATATACTAGGGCCTGCTCAACAAGCCTCCTGGCATTCCCTCGTTTAAATATTATCACTTCAGGGTCCAAAAAGCTACATAGAAGCATGCAAAAAGCTAAAGTTTGGGGATTAAAAAATGGTGACAAACTAGTTACTGATTTATGTCTGTATTTTATATCCAGTCTACAAGTATGCACGGGGCAGGGTGAGGTAACTGACTGAAATGTCCACAGTTTCAACTCAACTCAGCCGAGTTGTTGCATCTGTGAAGGTGCCCTTTAATAAGAACGAACACTGAGTAAAAGCGGATGCTGATTAAGTCACAGTGGGTGGATGACTAGCTCTATTAACACAGAAAAGTACAATAATCTTCTGTCAAAAGTTAAAGATCTCAGCTGTTGTTCTGGGATTATTTCTGGCCGGTCCCACAGAACATTAATACATATGCATCACTTCAGCTTGCGTGGTCATCGGGGGCAGTAATGATCATCTGGTGATTTCATAACTCCGGTCAACACAAAGAAATTTCAGATGTATTAGTCACCGAAGTGCACTAAAAGCACCAACAAGTTCAGCCCACCCTGAAATCTGCAACCTAGCAAAGCAGCTCTGCAGCTTGGAGGCAAAAAGCAGACATCAAAAAGACGAAGCTTACTCTAAAATCCTGATATGACACAAATTTACCTCTCAGCACCTCTCAGGTTAAATTCAGCAAAACCTGCTAGTCAAAACACAACTGGTACACCTCTGCCTGGAGGATAACTTCAGCAGCAGGCAGATCAGCTTCTAGACTGGAGGCAGCGAACCGTCACACATCGTCATCCTGCTGCATGAATCACTCACAACACATCACATCATCAAAGTATCACTGGAACTTATGAATCATCTGGGTAGATGGATACAGTATGTTACGATACAAACAAATCCCCTGCCAACATGTGCTGTATGTCTAAACAGCGAAGCAGCAGCGTCATAATGAAAAGGCTGTCAGCTCTCGGTGCCCCCTGGGAGGACTGACGAGACACATCATGCTCTTTAGCAAAGTACATAACCCCTCATTTCCTGAGCTGAGCTGCTCAGAGGCCAGTGGTAGAAAACAGCGGTAGTCATGTTTAAACCTTTATTTATCCACAATGGGACACTTTCTTGCATCATTCTGGTCACACTTAACAAGCAGCTGGAGCATCTAAACGCCTCTTTTGTCAATCCAAGTGCCCCAAAGTGCTTTTGTGTTCAACTCAAATGCCCCTCTGTTAGGTGGGGTACCACTGTGATGTGACCTCACCGTAAACTAACCCTTCCTCTTGTTCTGTTAGTGGCTAGGAGGCGTTTGTCTGTGCCCCTGCTGCTTAATGAATCTGTGCACACCACTGTGTCTTTTGATGAAACTGGCAGCTGCTCAGCTCAGGTATCAGTAACAGCTAGATGCATGGCAGCTCTTACCTGGGAGCGTCAAAGCTGTCGTAGGATCCCACAGTGTAATGGCGGAACAGTCTTTTGGCACGCTCTCCGCGGCTCTCTGTGAAACACGAAATCACACAGACATCAGAATAGTTTGACCCATATTAAATACATTTGCAGTTTCATTACATAACTGCTAATACTGTAATAATATGGAGCCATCTCTCTGGATTTTTGTCCCCAAGTCACCTGTAAGCTAAAATAAATATGCATATTAATCATGAAATAAATAATGATTAACTGACTGGTGTAAAAGCAATTGTTTGAATGAATTTAATGAGTCGGTTAAAGAAATTAACGGGAACTTATTATGCTTATTTCCATTTAAATTTCACTTCTGTCTGTAACAAGCCATTTTAGCTCTTCTGATTGGCTTAACCTTATATTTAACCCTTAACCTTACTAGTGAAAACCGTGACTGTTGAATATGACGTGAAATAAACACAAACCGAGACCATAACATCGCATTTGCAGGCGAAGAACTGGGACCTATAATAAATGCTTTGAGTTTTGAGATGGGCCCACATGCCCACAGAAATAGGTTACATACAGATTTGTACACCAGATAGATTTATACATATATACACTATGATCATTATAGTAAGATACAAAGGCAAGAGTCGGAAAACTCAACTCTTAAAACTTTGACCACGCTAATATAGGCATATAC